ATATAATTTTTAAATGTACATTTATAATTAAAATACTTAATGTACATATTATTTAAGTTTTAAGTCAATTTAAATATTTAATTTTATATATCTGTTTAGTTAACTATTAAATATGTCATTGTTGAGTATTTTTTTCCTCTTTTCTTTCATTTCTTCTTACCGATTTACCGACTTACCAGAGCTCATAAATTTCGAATTCAGGTCTAACATAAGCAAGTTGTCAAATAAATAAATAAATATCAAAACAAGTAATCGATATATGTATGTATAATCGATAAATATATAAATATAATAATAATATCTGAGTAGGCTTTGTGTCACTGGCTTGGAGGCGAGCTGTTGGATCGTTGACTTTGATGACTTTTAGTTTTTCGAAGCATCAACAACATTAACAATCGTGCCTGATTTTAAGCGTATCGACTTGTTTTAGGAAAATTTCCCGTTTTTATGTCAAAGTTATTTTGAAAGTAAAAAAAGAAAAAAGTAAAAAAAAGAGAAACACGACGAGTTTTCGCTGGGGAAGGTGCTGGATCTGCTGGGAAATACTTAAGGCAATCATCGTCTAATCATGCCCGTCGAGGAGAAGGTGTTCTTTGAGGACCAGCCCGGAAGGAAGTTCGATCGGTGCATGGCCAATGGCATTGTGAAGGGCGGCGGCGGCTTTGTCGTGGGCGCGGTTATATCCCTATTATTTCTGCGTCGGCGCGTTTGGCCGATATTGCTGGGCACTGGATTCGGCATCGGGGTGGCCTACAAGACGTGCGAAAAGGACTTGGAGTCGTTTAAGTAAACTATTCAAGATTCACAAGATTCACAAGATTCACAAAATTCATCAATGCAAGCACACGCACACACACACGAACACTCACACACATACAAAACTTTGGCTGTGCAACTATGTATTCATATGTACGTGTCCATCAAATGTACATAACTATGACTATCTATATGTAAAGAGATATATAGACAGAGAAACAGATCAAGAGCAAACGCGTGCGACGAGGGCGAAGGCTAAGGCTATGGCTAAGGCGATGGCTAGGGTGCGGGAGCGGGAGCGGGAACGGGAGAGGAAGAGGGAGACGGTGAGCGAGAAGGAGGAGAGCAAGCATGTCACTCACAGTATCTCTGCACTCTCAGCCATCTAAGTTTTATGTTGTAGCTGTTACTTGTTGGACTGCCAATTAAAATTCAATAAAAAAATACATGCAATTCCAATGAAAATGATGCACACTCTTATCACAAAATGGGAAATCAGCAAATCGGGGCATGACTAGAAGCAATCAGTACGAGTTCCATGTAAAACAGTATCAGCAAGATCCGCAGAGAGAAAGAGGGAGAGCGAGAGAGAGGGAGAGCGAGAGAGGGAGGGGGAGAGACTGTGAGAGAGAGCGAGAATGGGAGCAAGAGAGTTGAAAGAGAGTCGCTGCACATGGGGCAAGTTAAAAATCTTTGGCCGGGTCAGCAACAAAGTCAAGTGCAGCGAGACGTGGCAAAGCTAAGGCGAGTTGCCTGCCTGCCTGGCTGCCTGGCTAGCTGGCGCTCAAGGAGCTCACGTTTCGGCTGCAGTAGCTGCTGCCTCATGTTGCATGCAACCTGGTGCCGAGGCTCGTTTGCCCGTCACATAATCTGCTCCAAATCAAAATTGCTTATTAAACGTGGAGCTGTGGATAGCTGCAGCTCTCGCTGCGCCTACAGCGTCTCTCGCTCTCGCTCTCGCTCTTCCCCTCGCTCTCACCCTCTCTCTCACTCTAGCTCATGTGCGTTGTGGGCGCCCGCAGCTGGCATTTGGACTGGCCATGGACATGGCTCTGACTCTGACTCTGACTCTGGCTCTGGCTCTGGATCTGGCTCTGGCTCTGTGGACTTGCGTAGCGCCCAAAACGAATCTGTCGCCGCATCGCCAGTTGCAATGTGCCACGAAAATTGCTGCCGAATTCTGTTGCACAGTTGATCACGATTGCCTGGTTCGGGGCTCAATAAGCCAAACATCTTGATACGGATGCGGCGCTACAGGCTGCACATTGATCGACGATGACGACGACGACGACGACGTGCAAAGCTGCCAATGAACCGATACCAGCCGCTGGCTAACAATATCTACCGCCCTCTCTCCCTCTACCACCCTCCCTCTCTCTGTCTCTCTGGCAATTTCTACGTTTGCCCTCTGAACTCGATTGCATTTTGTATATATTATAATTGCCGGCCACGGCTCAGGCGCGTTATCTCTGAGAGAGTCAGTCGGCTGACTGCCTGCCTGCCAGTGCCTGCCAGTGCCTGGTCACTCAGTCACTCTAGCCTGGTCGATGGCCAATGCAGATAGAGGCGACAGGCCGGCCGAGTGCTCCGCTTCCATTCGATGCGCTGCCCATTTCTCGTATCGCTGATCGCCGGCGAGCGCTGTGCTCCGATTCGGATGCCACTTTCCAGGAAGCGGCAAATGGCCAAGCGCACAGAACTTGTCGCATTAGCACCACGTTGTGTAGCTGAAATTAATGCGATTGCTGATTGCATTTATGCTCGCTCCGAATAACGAATAACAAACGCGATGCGATGCGATGCGATGCGATGGTTGATGGCTGATGGCCGATGGCCGATGGCTCTCGATGGCAGGCCTCGTCGATGCATGAAGCTAGCTGCATATAGATCAGAGATTCACCATATATATACATATATATATAGACATCAGCTATTGGCACTTTCGAGAGTCTTTAGGTTGTTGTACCAAATGCTAAGCGAATCAATTCCCGCATAACTCAAGTCCAAGTGCTGCCCATTTGTATTTTGATTTGGGACAGTGCATCTTGCATCTTTCCCCAAATTGTGGTTATTCTTTGTTATTCTGTCGCAAGATTAAGTGAAGCTTTTCTAGTGCAAAGGGTATATTGGGGATGTGGAACAGACTGAAGCCCTCGACCTTGATGAAGTGCTACAGCTGCTTACTTATCTTATAGTTGTCATATAGACTAGAACAGTGATAATTTCTGCCTGATTTATGCTTCCATATCTATACGACATGCGACATAGCAAATTTAATCCTTCGAGCATTGACAATGCTGAGAAGAAGCTGCGTTATCAAGGGAGAAACACAATCGTTCCCTTTGGGTTCCAACTGTCGATATTACCATAAAGCATAATCGCATAATAAATACGCTTAGCCAAAGCAAAATTCTCAGATTATCAAGCCTAGTTCGTAGAGCGTAGACCCCAACAAAGGGCTGAGCAGGGTAACTGCTCGTCAGTCATAGCCGACGCTTGGCTCTGCTTTGTGAGCGCCAAGCTCCAGTTACCAAATTGCAAAATGACGACAACATGTGTTTGATTTTGATGGGTGGCTCGCTGAACTGAGCTGAGTTGAGCTGAGCTGGCTTCGCTCTCATGGCAAAGCTGCAAACGATCTTGGCAAAAAAGCGCAAGCAGTTACTACGACAACAACAACAACAGCAGCAGCAGCAGAAGCAGCAGCGGCGGCAGCAGCAGCAGCAATAGAAAAATGGAAAGGTTCCCAAGAAAATTTAGATCAATTTTCCTAATTTACTTGAGCGCAGCGATTGCGTGTCGTGGCGTGAAAAACGGCACTTGAAAATTCCTACAGCGCCTGCAAAGGAATCGCAGTTGCTGCCCGACTGCCAAAAGGGAGTTGAAAAGAAGAGCCAAACTAACAGAGAGAGCGAGAGAGAGAGAGAGAGAGAGAGAGAGACGAGAAAAAGAAAAAAAATATAAATCACGACTCAAGTTTCGAAAGCGCGAAACTGTTACCAAAGCACTTAAACTTAAATTGGCCAGCGACGACGACGGCGACGACGACGACGACGACGGCGACGGCAGCGACGTCGACTAAGGTAACAGAGTAAACTGAGCCACAGATTCAGAAACTGCAACTCCAACTACAACTGCAACTGCGACTCAGCAGAGGCAAAAGGCTAAATTAGAAATAGTGTAGATAGATACGCCAATAGAATTTATAGCGGCTGCGCGTAGCCTGCGTCGCCATGATCATGCGGCATGAGTCTGCACCGCCATCACCTGCAGCACCACCAACCACCAAGCAGCAAGCAGCAAGCAGCCTAGCTGGCCAACTGTGGCTGTGGCTGTGGCCGGGCAGGTTAATTTTGGGCACGACGCCCAATGATGACGATGATGATGGCAACGCACGAAGCGCGGCCTGCCTTGGTCATGTACAGCGTGTAGAGCGTGTAGAGCGTGCACGGTCGCTGCTTAAGTTTAATGGAACCAATTGAAGATATTTTGTGGCCAAGTGATAAAGTTGTATGCCCAGTTGGTGGTGCTGGTGGTGCTGGTGGTGGTGGTGTTGGTGGGTGCCGAGCCCAGCCAGCTAGCCAGCCAGCCAGCCAGTTAGATAGGAAGCGGAGCAGCGTTTGTTCATCAACAGCTTCGCCGGCCATCAGCTGAGTGGGCCTCACCACGATCATCCATTAAATGATGCGTAAGCGTAAACGTGATCATGCGTTTGCCTGCCTTGACTGCTTGGGCTGCCTGGGCTGCCACACTAGATCACACGATCTTGATACACAATGGTTCTACACAGTGAGGGATCGTGAAAGAATTACTAAGTCGTATATCGGTAAACTACGACTTTGACTTTGACTTCGTTCTTTGGTGCTCGGTCGTCGTCGTCTTCGTCGGTCTTTGGACTTCAGCTCTGAAATGTAACCGAGTTATGTGAAAATTGCTAAAGAATTTTCGTGCCTAGCTAAGGCCGTTGAGAGAGGGAGAAAGAGACAGCATGAGAGAGTTGAGCAGGCTGAGGAAATTTTCAGCGAGCATCAAGCAATTAAAATAGCTTGAGGCAAATATTTGCAAGCGATCGATATTTATTGTAATTGTGACATACAACTAAAATTATTAAGCCAATTAATTATTTATTAAAATATT